AGCTGAAACCAAAACCTAGCAGTTTGCGCAGAACTGGATATTTAAGTTTGGCTAATTTAGAAGCCTAAAATCATTCTCAGTATATTATCAAAGTGGCCAGTTATTTTATGTATTGAGCTCTAGTTTACCCACTTCAGCCTTCAAGCTGAGGTTATAAATAAGACTCATGTTCTTTTCAAAGCTTCATGTTCTCACTTACTTAAGTGAAAACGCGTGATCAATGGTATCAGCTTGTTGTTTGATGGTCCGTGTAGGCGCATATATGATTATATGCATTTCTATTACTGTGAGTTCCGTCAGATATCACTTTGAACAACTCATAGAATATTCTCTCGAAATTCAGAAGTTCCTATCACGTGACCTATAGTTAAAGTGTATAACGGTGGGATGAAACTCCAGTGGAGTTCTGGAAAAAGTAGTGATCAAATACTAATACATACCCCTATGTCCCGTGAAGTCCCTAACATGGATACATATATTAGAAGTGAGCAGTACTTGAGGAGGAGTATGAAGCGAAAAATTTGAGGGTTTGAAGAAGTGGTATAGTGGTAAAGTTCAAAACAGATAGAAAGTACATAATAATTTTTCCAAGAAACCCATTACAATGAAGAGTATGAGTGAAGTGCTCAGGTGGTTTTGAAAGCCTAATGATCGGTATCCAAGTCAAACGATGGACAAGGCAAATAACCCAAAGCAAGGTCAAAGACCTTATTCCCAATTCTATGAGAGCAAAGACAGTATCCCATGCTCAATATTTACGCAGCTGCTTCGAGCCTGAAACAACAATTGTACTAATCTTCGGGGTTTAAACTATTGCTCTGGAAGGCACCAGCACGCATTCTTAATATTATCTACAGTAGAACCGATATTTCTGTGTGTTGTTCTAGAAAAAACAATATAAATTTTTTGATTGGCTTATTTTGTGAACGCGTTCTCAAGCCAGTTTGATGGAACTGGCAGACCTCTCAATTCTGAATCAATAGCAATAGAAATAACTTCTACCTCATCTCCAACTATCTCTCTGAGGCCAGTAAAGCAAAAGACGAGGTCTTGAGTAGAAAAAGACTACTTTGTTCTCAAAACGCTCGCTACTCTGCCATGAATGAATAGTACATCCTTCAAGAGGCACAAATACTCATTCATTGGGAGACTTCTTTTCCATCGCTTTCTTCAAAACTAAGGGTGAGCGAGTATATAAAAAGTAGGGGTTCTCAAAACTTCTTTCTTTTTCTTTTTGTTGCTTTCATTGAAGTCTGTGATCCCTTGACAAATTGCCACTAAGTATTTCTAAATACTGGGTGTTCAAAGCCGTACTTTTCAGCTGTTGAACACTGACCACCCTTAAAATATTTTTTGCTTTTCAATAGTGCTCAAAGGAAAGGATTGTTGTCTTCAATAGGAAAGCCTCACCAGAACCCTCATCGAACAAAAAAGCACCAAGAGAGAATTGTACATATATGTTTAATTTGTGTGCTCTCTGACGCATACTTTAATGTCTATGCTGGGCTCATCTTTCTAGTGAAGCGGAGCACGCACATTTTCCTGGCGATTGCTAAAATTTGCTTACATATTTTACTCAAAAGCTGCTACGAGAGCAACAGAAGTGATATACTTTGAAAGGCTATGGCTTGGACATAAGCGTCTGTCAGACTGAACTAACGCATCGCAATACTTTTACTGGCTTATCGCACCAGATTGAGGACAAGAACGCCGAACCACCTCTAAAGACATAGCTCAACGATAACAACTAAATATCGGAAGAATTAACACTAAAAATAGACAGGTCAATCTATCACTCACATACATGTTACATCTTGTAGATAGGGTCAAACACGGCATCGAATAATGAAGTACATACGGCAAGTAGACACCCTTTTTCTCGGGTTGGTCAGCGCTAGTAATCATGGTTGGGAAACAAATTAAGTTCCTTTGTCTAAATGTAGTAATATTCGGGACAATGATATACCCCCGGATGAAGTATTTGATTGTCTGGGCCTAGTATAGGATGAGTCCTGGTCAGAAAAAGAGGATCATTGTTAGGGAAGATATGGATAAAGATATGACTCTATTCTTTGGCCAGAATTGGAGCTAATCACTGGTTAAAAAGAAGCAATACTCATTCACCAGCAGATAGTACCACTTTCCGGCCCATTCTTGACCTGAGTATATGTCAGTCGTGGTCAGACAGTATCCTAGTTGCTGGTCGAATATAAGTCTTTTGCCTCAATATAGTCTTATCCCTACCGAAAATATAATCCAATTGTTGGTTACTTAATGTGGCTACTCCTAATAGGAATACAGTATCACATCTGGCCACGAAATTGACATATCATCGGCCTCAATATATTATCACCCCCAGTCGAAACATACTTGTATTTTCCACCAAAATAGAAGTCAGTGCTCGATCATAGCGCAATAATTATCCTTGTCTGGACTATACACTACTTTTGGTATAAGTAGACTATGTTTATGCATACATACCAAGAAACATGGTTGGTACATGGCTAGAACGGACCCGAGCCCAAATGTACTGCTGGCCAGAAAATATATCAATTGCTGCATTATCAAGCCACCTTAGCTTTTTTCCTCTAGGCCAGGATTTCAATTAGGAACTAGTGATGGTACCATCTGCTGGGCAGCGTATTGTGTCAATCATAGGTGAGTGATAATTGTTTGCCAAGTTATGGCACGACTCACTGGCTCCGAGCCAATTCAAATATTGACCAGTCTACCATCAGTTCTACCTGCGCCTTGGAAGCCACAGAAATCATGTCTTTTTGGGTGTGGAATCTAGTCATTGACCGGGGCACACAAGGATTCTTCGTCAAAATACAGCTCAGGTTTAACCATAGCAGACGCCGGTTTCCGCGATAGTACATTCTCATCAGTATGTTGGTCATTCTTTTTGCCAGAACGCTTTCTAACTACTTGCATACTTATCCGGGGTACTGGAGGGGGCTGTTCGTGACCACAGCGTCTACAGGCTAAACTAGCACCACATACACCTCTACATATACCGCTCGCAATACGTCCTAATTAATGTATGCCCTTGGCCACACTTATGCTGGCACCGACCACGTCACATTGCAAGGCAAGATAAGAACACTTTCCCAAGCCGCCAAACATACGGACAAACTCACCACACCCCTCGGTATGTCCAACACAAATGAACCAGCACGTGGCACATGACCACGATGTGTACATGACTGGCGGAAATCCGGGGCGGAGAGTCTCCGTCTGCCAAAGAGGAAGCGCTGCTTGTTGTTGTGCGTTTTTTAGAGACACTAGTGGCATTTGGCTTGATGTTCTATGAAAGAAACTGGTGCAAAGCCATCTCTAAGGTGCAGCTAATTTGAAGGAAGGTTGTTCTTGCCCTTGCTTTCCCCTTGAGGGCATTCTCGTATCTAAATTGTATATCTGCTTCAATTACATTAACATGAATGGATCAGCCACTGAAGAAAAGTCATTTCGAGTCGTCTTCAGGACCAGGACTCCTCTGCTTCTCACAAGGACATGCTTCTCACGCGTGTTTGCAGGCATTGGAAAAGAAAAGATATACGCCCGGCCTAAACATGGCGGATATGGACTCATGGAGATGAAAATCCAATTGCAAGGTCATGGAGCTGGCGTTGTACTCTCGACACTCACGACAGCTCACTATTTGTTCACCAAATTACTCAAACTCAAGATGGTACATCACATGGTGAAAATTATTCATAGCCGAGCTAGTATCAGGCTCGGCGCGGGTCTATTATGGATCGACTTTTTGTTCAAAAGTGTGACATGTTCTACAATAATCTACAATGCACGTTCACTCCAATGAACGTCATTATCTCGAAGCTTGAAGAAGATTGTTCCCAGAACTGACTTTCAACAACCGGTGTTACGTGCGATGACGGAACCTTTTTGGGTATACTGAATAACAGCTTCTGCTGGGCCTCATCCGGGCAGATTACATATATAGCCTCATGAGATTGAAGCAATACAAGGTACGGCGTTTCGTTCATTGAGCCGGCGCAAACAGGAAGAACTTCCGCCACTTCGCCCGGGGCGTCTCCTTGTGATCTGCCCCGAATTGAAGACGGTGAAACGGTGGCAAAAGTTCCGAATAAAATTATACAAACGAGAATGGTTGGTGCAAACCGATCTCACAGCCATTCATCTATTCAAGCACGGCTCCCTTTTAGGATAATGAAGTTGGGTAGTCACCATTCGAAAACAAAGTGTGTTTGAAACGCTGTTATGATGATCAGAAGCTAACTCACCTCTACAATGAGTGTGAGGCTGCGCACTTCTGGTGGCAAAAGATCGGCTTTCAAGCTACAATGCACCTAAGAGAGATGCTAGATCCTTCAGATAATTAATGGGTTGTTAAAGTCGTTCGCAGGGTTTATATGCTCAGGGACAAAGACAAATGTACGTCTTGCCGCCTTGTCAAATGAACTACGGTCATGGCCCCTAGGAAAACATACCCTATGGGCTGATGAAACTTGGTTAATTTTATTTAAGTCGTTGACATTGGGTATGGGCCGAAGTCTCTTGTTCACATTAACATTAACATCAACATCAACATGAACATTAACATGAGCATTAACATGAACATGAATGTTAACATTGACATTGACATAGACAATAACATTGACATCAACATTAACATCAACATCAACATCAACATCAACATCAACATCAACATCAACATTAAACTATATATAAATCAAAACGTTATGTTTATTATTCGATATTAAGCTAGTCGAATACTTTCGTTTACCATATCCATATCACGAAGTCATATAAATGTTTAACAAACGTATAGTCTCTGAGGTTCCTACTTTTGTGCTATGCAATTTTGTTACCTGCGAACTATTACAATTGTTATCCCCAACCTAAGGTGGGGATGGCGAGGTTACCTTTTCTAAGGTTATCCTTCGGTAATCATATAGGTATAAAGATAAGTTATAAATTATTAAGGTATATAGTCCTAAGACATATAAATAAAAGGAACTTAGGTAGTTCAATGGTTAGAGCAAACGCCTCATATGCATTAAATATAGGTCCAATCCTATGTTAGGTAATAAAAATAGTCGTATAAGCTAACAAGGTATAGCGGCCGTTTTGTAGTCGGAAGGTGTGGAGTTTGATTCTTGAATACGACAAATAAAACAAAGACTACATGATCTAATAGGTTATGATATTACTTCTTCATAGTATATATAAGGGTTCGATTCTCGTTTGGTTAATAACCTTTTTATATTAACCCATCCAGGGTGTTTATCCCCGGCTTCGCCGGGTATATTAATAATATGCGTATAATAGAAAATAAATGTGGGGGTGTGCTCAATCTATAAGGAGAATTATCAAAGAAGGGATAAATGTAATTACCCCGCGTGATACGTCCCCCTACTATTATTATCTCAACCGAAGGGACGGTTGGGGATGACCCTTTCGAAGGTAAACCTTCGGTTGGGGATGCCGGGGGAATGAATTATACATATACCTCATTAATCATTTATATATGATAAAATTTATAGTGTTATAAATAATAAACACTTAAATAAATGTTACATAAATATACCCGGGGATATATATAAAGTAATTGTAGTTCTTTAAAATTATCTGTTCTAAAAACTATAGATTTATTTTCACCAACCATCACCCATTAATCTATAGCCCGAGGGGTTAGTTTGTATCATTCATTATGTAATTTTAATAAAGAATATTTAGATTTAGATGAGAATCAATATTGGGTGAGCGAAGCCGGGGTTCGTTCTTAGAACAACAATTATTTCGTAGTTATACTTCCATCACTAGACTTAGGTAATATGTGAAAACATTTGCTGAACAGAGCATGTCTAGAAAAGGATCTCATAATATATTAAGATAGTAATAAAAAGAGATTCAGATGAAAGACCTATGGTTAAAATTATACTATTCAAACATCAATTACCAAAGCTCTTAAAAGAAGGAGATGGGCATGCTATTAATTGCTCTACCAAAAAAAAAATTGGACGTTAATTTATCTTATAAAAATAAGCTATAAATGTATCTGTAATACGAAGATAAATACGTATGACATCAACATCAGCATCAACATGAGACTCTTTTTGATACTTATATCTTTTCTGATACAACTCTTACATATTCATTTGTTTTCAAAAGTTCCATAAGATTCGGACTCCTTATGGGAGAGTTCGTGCTCGCGCGTTATTGCCTGAGCCAATGTTGCCATCGATTCTAGGTTTTTCCTTCGTAATTCTTCCTTGGTGGTGGCGTTCGACATCTCTCCAGTGACACCCTGTAATCTGACGGTTTAAAAAAAAATCTCAAAAGACAGAGGAGCCGGTCCCAGCCCATCCTTTCTCCCCGGACCTCACCACGACCTCTGTCCCTCCTTCCACAAGCGTACTACAACCCTACCCGTCATACTCACCGTCTCGGTATTGGCCTAATACGCACACTGCGCATAGCCAGCGCCGCCGTGCCGGGCTCCAGCAGTGTCACGTGACCCACCATGTAGCCGCGTCCCACGTGCAAGGAAACCTCTACAAAAAGGTTTTTCTGGGCTTTGTTCTACGGGTGTCAGAGAATACCCATTCTGCGGCCCAATCGCCGGACATGCTTGCAGAGAAATCTGATACTAAAACCACCGGCCGCGCGGTCACGTGACCCGCGCCTGGCTGTTTGTCTCGTCTTGCGCCGGCGCCTACTCCTCAAAACCGTCTTCCCGCCTCACCAACGCCACGCCAGCGGCCCGCCCCTGCAAACCACCCCGTCCCGCCGCCCCCGCCCGCGCCGCCGCTACACGCACATACCACTTTCGGCACCGCACCATGTCTGCAAGCCTGTTCAAACTCACCGTCAACGAGTACTTGGAGGGCCTCCCCAAGGCGGTGCAGTCCAAACTATACCACGCGCCCGCCACGTGCCTCTCGATCTACCGCTTGCTCCCGCCGCTCGCAAAGTTCTACGTGGTGTCCATGATGTTCACCGACAGGCCCGTGGCCGTCAGGGACTTGGAGAAATGGTGCCGGCCGCACGCACGCAAGCTCCAGTACGAGGCGCTCCAGCGGCTCCGCGCGTTGCACTTGCTCGAGGAGGACGCCAGCGGCACGCACGTGCGGTTGCACCAGACGTTCCGCAGCAGCTTCCGCGGCTGCTTGGCCGGCACCCAGGCGCCCACCGCGTTCGGCGTCATCGCGCTGGCGCCCGACAAACACGCCGTGGACGTGGCGTTCTTGGACCGCTTCGCCGCGCAGAAGTGGGAGACCATCTTGCACTTCATGGTCGGCTCGGAGCTCCCGGCGGTGCCGTCGCGCTCCGTGCTCTCGTTGTTGCGGCTGGGCGGGTTGATGGAGGGCCGCGGCGCGGGTGCGGCCGGCTTGGCCATCACCAACCGCGGCTTCCAGTTCTTGCTCCAGGACGCCAACATCCAGATCTGGACGCTCCTCCTCGAGTACTTGGGCTTGGTGCAGGACCTCCACATGGACCCCGTGGACGTGCTCAACTTCCTCTTCGTGCTCGGCTCGCTCGAGTTGGGCAAGGCCTACTGCGTGTCCGGCCTCAGCGCCACCCAGCTCTCCATGTTGCCCGACTTGCGCGACTGCGGGCTCGTGTACCAGCGCTCCGAGGGCCTGCTGCGCTTCTACCCGACGCGCCTCGCCACCACGCTCACCTCCGAGTCCACGGGGCTCCGCACCCCGGCCATGGCCTTGGACCAGGCCGTGGCGGACGCCGAGGCCAAGGACGCGCCGCCCGTGGCCGCCGCGGACGCGCCGCTGGGGCAGGTCGTGCTCGAGACAAACTTCAAGTTGTACGCGTACACGAACTCGCCGCTCGAGATCGCCGTGCTCAACTTGTTCGTGGCGCTCAAGATCCGCTTCGCCAACATGGTCATTGGCCAGCTCACGCGCGAGCTGGTCCGCAACGCGCTCTACAACGGCATCACCGCGGACCAGATCATCCGCTTCTTGGAGACGCACGCGCACGCGCAGATGCGCCTCTTGGCCAAGGAGAAGTTGGACAAGAAGATCGAGTTCGACGCCAGCCACAACATCAACACCGCGGGCGGCGCGCCGCAGCTGAAGGCCTCCGACTCGGGCGTCGCGCAGCACCGCCTCGAGATCCTCCCCCCGAACGTCGTGGACCAGATCAGGCTCTGGCAGTTGGAGTTGGACCGCATCCAGACGTTCGACGGCTACTTGTTCAAGGACTTCAAGAACCAGAACGAGTACGACGTCTTGTGCAACTACGCGTCCGAGGTCGGCGTCTTGTTGTGGTCCGACAAGACCAAGCTCCGCTTCTTCGTCACCTCCGACGGCATGGCGCAGGTCGCAGACTTTGCCGGCCGCAAGTTCAGATAGGTCTTATTGCGCCCGTGGGGGGCTGGCCTCGGCCCGCGCCGCCGCAACGCTCGCCTCAGGAACCTCTTCGCCAGAGAAGCTGGCTTCAATGGGCCCGGGACTCGCTGCGCTCGTATGGCTGCATCATCGCACACAAGACAGTTCTGCGTTGCACCATGTCACTCGCCCCCATGGCGACCCGTATCATCTGGCGGGCTACCCAATCTCTCCTGCCCGTGAACGCACTTCGCTTGAACGATTAAAACGTCTCGTTTATCCTGCATTTGGGCTGGAAGCGTGCTGGTGGCACTAGCCATCCCTTAAGCATCAAATCTACATCCCCAGACATCACCGGCCTTGGTCCGTGTCTAAAACCCCGCGTTCTTCCAAGTCCCTGCCACCCAGGTCATCATTTGCATTGAGCCACAAGGAATTGCAGGTATATACTCATATTGCTAATACACTAGTTCCAGTGGTTATTCACAAGTTTCATTTGCTATATACATGTGGCGGCGCTCTAACCGGAGCAAGAGTCGCAGGCCCCCGCGTAGTTGATTTGACACACTCTGGGGGTGGGGTCAAATATATCGTGGATGTCATTTTCTTGCTCCCTGAACTTGCGAGCGGGCTCCCGCTCGAGGGGCGCTTTGTGGCCTTTCTTAGTTATACGCAATTCGTGGCCATTCGCTTCGGCATTCGAGGCCACTCTGGGTATCTTGTGTGTCTGAGTCACAGACTTCGGGCTCGATGGACCTGGAAATGGGGGGTCCGCCTCTCTTACTCGTTTGGAAGTGTGTTTGCCATCTTTGACGGACATTTCATCGTATTGCCTCGAAAATTCCATCTGGGGTATATATGCCCTTCTCATCAATTTCTGGGTATCGGGCTTGGTCATGGCAGTCAAAGCCTCCTCGGTTTCTTGTTCGTCAACAGTGAATTGAATGGCCCGTGAAGCGGCCTGTGATCTTAAATAGTACATGCCCGTTTTGAGCCCCTTTTTCCACGCGTAGAAATGACACGATGTCAACGCCCCGATGCTGGGGTTTTTCATGAAGATGTTCATACTTTGCAGCTGGTCAATGAAGCAGCCGCGATCAGCGGCCATGTTGACAATGCTCTTCTGACTGACCTCCCATACAGTCTTGTACAAAGCCTTCAAGTCATCGGGTATCACCAGGATGTTTTGGATCAGGCCGTTGTCTATGACAATCTTTTGCTTCACTGCGGTGTTCCAGATACCAAGGGCTTTTAGGTCTTGGATGAGATACTTGTTCACAACTTGATATTCACCTGAAAGCACACGGCGCAGGTACAAGTTGGACGTGTAAGGCTCGAAGCACTCGTTGAACCCAAGGATTTGCGAAGTGGACGCTGTGGGCATCGGGGCCACCAACAAGGAGTTGCGGAGGCCGTGCACCATTACTTTGCTCTTCAACTGATCCCAGTCATCGAAAAACTCGGGCTTATGATTCCATAGATCAAACTGTAGTTTGCCCTCTGAGGCTGGCGACCCAGCAAAGCTGCTGTAGGATCCCAACTCCATTGCCATTTCCAAGGACGCCTCAACGGCCCCATGGTAGATCGTTTCGAAAATCTGTCGGTTCAAAGCTTGGGCCTCAGGCGATTCGAAGGGTAAGCGGAGCTCCATGAAGACGTCCGCAAGGCCCTGTACGCCTATGGCTATGGGTCTGTGTTTGAAGTTCGATTCGCGGGCATCTTCAAGCAGGTATAACGTGACGTCGATCACCTTGTCGAGGTTCCGTGCTAGGATCTTAGTGTAGGCGTGCAATTTGACAAAGTCGAAAGTGAGCAGACCACCAGACAGTCTGATGTATGACGGTAGAGCCAACAGGCCCAAGTTGCAGACCGCGGTTTCGCCCCTGGACGAGTACTCCACAATCTCGCAGCACAAGTTGGACGATTTGATGGTCCCCAAGTTCTTTTGGTTCAGCTTTCTGTTGCACGCGTCTTTGTAGAGCATGAACGGCATGCCGGTTTCGATCTGCGTCTCCAATATCTGAAGCCAGAGCTTTCGCGCGGGCATGGTGCGGCACGCGAGCCCGGCAGCTTCATGTTTTTCGTACAACGCCAGAAACTCTTCTCCATACACATCCGCGAGCCCGGGAGCCTCGCTCGGCGAGAATAGGGACCACAGGGCATCGCTCTCGACACGCTGCATGAACAAATCGGGAATCCACAAGGCGTAGAAAAGATCACGGGCCCGGAGCTCCTCCTGGCCGTGGTTTTTGCGGAGGTCCAAGACTTCTTGGATGTCGCCGTGCCAGGGCTCTAGGTACACTGCTATCGCACCCGGTCTTTTGTTTCCGCCTTGGTCCACATACCTGGCGGTGTTGTTGAACACGCGGAGCATCGGCACCAAGCCGTTGGACGTTCCGTTGGACGACTTTATGAGGGAGCCTTTGGAACGGATGTCGTGCATGTGGATGCCTATGCCGCCCGTGCCCTTCAGAATGAGCGCCGCCTTGTGGAGCGCTTTGTAGATGCCGTCGATGGAGTCGTCGTCCATGGCCACAAGGAAACACAGCGAGAGATAGTTGTTCTCTGTGGCCGCGTTGAAGAGCGTGGGCGACGAATGCACAAAGTGCTTGGAGGACATGGCCTCGTACGTTTCCTTGACTTTGGCGAGCGCCGACTCCGGCCCCGACTCCGGCGCCACGCCGTGGATTCCCACAGCCACCCGCATAAACAAATACTGCGGGGTTTCGGCAACCACGCCGTTTCTCTTGAGGAGATACGAGCTGGAGAGCGTGCGCATGCCGAAAAACGACAAGTGGAAGTCTCTTTCCGCCGCGATTGCGCGGTCGAGCAGCTCGGCGTGTTTCTGTACAAACGCGTTGGCCGCCGCCGCCACTAGCGGGTATTCCGTGCCCGTTTTGGGGTGCACGTAGTCGTACAAACACTGGAAGTTCTGCGCAAACAGCAAGGGCACTTTTCTGCGCACGCGGAGTGCCTCCACCATGCCCGCCAAGTCGGCAAAAAGCGGTTCTTCGGTGACGCGCAGAGCCAAGGACTCCGCCACCAACCCAAGAAGCTCGTCCACGGAAATCTCGTCCGGAAGCGCCGCCTCGATATTTGAGATGGACCGCTCGATGGCCAGATCCGGAATGTCGAGCCGCGCCAGCAAGCGCGAGAGCATCCGCGCAAGACGCGCACGGGCAAAGGGCCCGCGTGTCACGTGACCGCCCGTAACGTATGCCATCTGCCTAGAATACGTGGGTGGAGCAGGTGCAAAATTGCCAGGACTTTGCACCCATTTCACCGCGCGATGACATTTTAGGATGAGCCCGCCGCACGCCGCGCACTATCGCGTGGTGCACGGGTGCACGGGCGTGTCTTTTCGGCATGCCGTGTTATTGTACATGTCTGATATTGGCAGAAGTGGATGCCAATCCAGAAACTGCGATGGATGCAGATGTTCGTTTTTGGCTCACAATGTGTGCTTGAAATATCGCACCGCTGGGGTCCACACTTGCGTTCTCAGAACAAACACTTATATTGGTGCAGACATTCAAATTGACGCAGACAATCAAATTGACGCAGACATTCAAATTGACGCAGACATACAAATGGATGTAGACATTCCATCCAGGTAGTAGACATCCGAAAATGCCACTCACGAAAACAGCCACACTTCGTTTTTTTCGTAAGTAGACCAAAACACAAGAACGGGCACCGGCACAGCGCATTCCATTGTATGCCTTGCAGATCTGAAATCCACCATGCTCTGATACAAGCAGTAGCGTCTTTGAGTAGCCCAATGTTTCACATAGTAGATGGCAGCCCAGCCCAAGCGGCCAACATGTCTCCATCAAGCAACAGCCCACAGGCTTTCATTAAGCAAGACTGCACTCAATAGAATCCCAGCCAAGATCAGCCACTAAAAAAGCTCCAAGGCCAGTGATCGACTTACTTATTCTATATTTGAACAAAACAACTATGATTCATCCATGCAAGCCATGACGGATTCATGGCAGAAATCGATGGCCGTTGAACCTGGTGTGTCTCGGGTATGCGGAAGAAGACAGTTCATCGGTCAACAAATTTTTGCTCGCCAAACAAAACCGACAACGCGCTCGGGCAGACTGTCGGCTATGTATGTTTCAAAAACAAAAAATGAGCTCGCACTCAGGTTCGAACTAAGGACCAACAGATTTGCAATCTGCTGCGCTACCACTGCGCCATACGAGCTTCGTGCACATCCATGCTGGTGTGATGAATATGACCTATTGAATGATTCAAGTGAAAGAACAAACAAAGCTAGCAGCCACCCTAAAGTCGGTGCTGGCTGCAATCGACTCAACGTTTTCTACGTCAAAAACCTTCTACCGCATCCTGACAAAAAAAAGACAGAACCCCCCTACAATCTCCCCAGGCACAAAGGACAAGCCGGGCTGTCCATTGCACACCCGTGCACCACGCCGATTTAGTAAGCACCGGGCCTGCGTCTAGAAAAATCTGATCCACCCATCTCATCTCCAGGTCTTCCAAACCCACACAGAAATCATGGTCAAACGCAAGGCGGAAGCCAGCAGTGCCCAGGTGGACGACGCGTTTCTGCCGCTTCTACAGGAGGAGTACAAAGGCAAGAAATTGACCGATGCCATCAACACAGTCGACGACAAATGGCAGCTCTTGCCTGCATTCTTGAAGGTGAAGGGGTTGGTGAAGCAGCACTTGGACTCGTTCAATTTCTTCGTGGACGTGGACTTGAAGAAAATCATCAAGGCTAACGAGCTCGTGTTGTCGGACGTGGACCCGCAGTTCTACTTGAAATACTTAGATATCCGTGTAGGCCACAAGCTGACCCTGGCTCCAGGAACCAAGGAAGTGATCATGGCTCCTCACGAGTGTAGACTACGTGACTTGACGTACTCGGCGCCCATCTACGTCGATGTTGAGTATACCCGGGGCAGGAAAATCATCATGTACAAGGACTTGGAGATCGGGCGCATGCCCATCATGTTGCGCTCCAACAAGTGTGTGTTGGACGGCTTGAGTGACCAGCAGATGGCGAAGTTCGAGGAGTGCCCCATCGACCCCGGCGGCTATTTTGTGGTCAACGGAACGGAAAAGGTGATATTGATCCAGGAGCAGCTTTCCAAAAACAGAATCATCGTGGAGGCCGACGACAAAAAGGGCATCGTGCAGGCGTCCGTGACCTCGTCAACGCACGAGCGGAAGTCCAAGACGTACGTGATTGCAAAGAACGACAAGATCTACCTCAAGCACAACTCTATTGCCGAGGACGTGCCCATCGTCATTTTCTTGAAAGCGGCTGGAATCACCTCTGACCTTGAGATCTTGCAGTTAGTGTGCGGCCCCAACTCGCAGTACCAGGACTTGTTTGCCATCAACTTCGAGGAGGCGGCCAAGCTCGAGATCTTCACGCAGCAGCAGGCGCTTCTCTATATTGGCAGACGGGTGAAAACCATCCGTCGTGCCGGGGCGCCCAAGCTCTCGCAAGTTCAGGAAGGTATCGAGGCCATTGCCACCACTGTGGTGGCGCATTTGACGGTGTCAGATCTCAATTTCCGGGAGAAGGCCTTATACACGGCCACCATGGCCCGCAAGGTTTTGATGACCATGCACGACTCCTCCATGGTCGACGACAGAGACTACGTGGGTAACAAGCGGTTGGAGTTGGCCGGCCAGTTGATGTCGTTGCTTTTCGAGGACTTGTTCAAGAAGTTCAACTCGGACTTCAAGCTCAACATCGACAAGATCTTGAAGAAGCCCGGCAAGACGTCCGAGTTCGATGCGTTGTTGTCGATCAACATCCACTCCAACAACATCTCCATGGGCATGAACCGCGCCATTTCCACGGGCAACTGGTCCTTGAAGCGGTTTAAGATGGAAAGGGCCGGTGTCACCCACGTGTTGTCGAGATTGTCCTATATCTCCGCGTTGGGAATGATGACCAGAATCTCGTCTCAGTTCGAGAAATCGAGAAAAGTCTCGGGTCCCAGAGCCTTGCAGCCGTCGCAGTTTGGTATGTTGTGCACATCCGATACCCCTGAGGGTGAGGCGTGTGGTTTAGTGAAGAACTTGGCCTTGATGACACATATCACTACCGACGACGAGGAGGCTCCCATCAAACGCTTGTGTTTCCTCTTGGGTTGCGAAGATATCATGAGCGTTGACTCCGCTAGCATTTACGCCGAGGGGAACTTTGGAGTTTTCTTGAACGGTACAATGATCGGCGTCACGCGGTTCCCCGTCAAGTTCGTCCGCGATTTCCGTGCCTTGAGAAGAACGGGCCGCTTTTCCGAGTTTGTGTCCATTTTCACCAACACCCACCAGGCAGCCGTTCACATTGCCACAGACGGAGGAAGAGTGTGTCGTCCGCTTATCATTGTGGACCCCAAGACGGGGAACCCCAAGGTGGAGGCACACCACTTACAGAAACTAATAGGCGGAGAATGGGCGTTCGACGACTTCTTGAAACACGGCCTCGTTGAGTATTTGGATGTCAACGAAGAAAACGACTCCTTGATTGCATTATACGAAAAGAACATGGAAGAAAGCCCGAACCTCCGATTCACCCATTTGGAAATCGAACCTTTCACTGTCCTCGGGGCAGTCGCTGGCTTGATTCCCTACCCACACCACAATCAGTCGCCCAGAAACACATATCAGTGTGCTATGGGTAAGCAAGCAATTGGTGCTATTGCATACAACCAGTTCCGCAGAATCGACACGTTACTTTACTTCATGGTCTATCCTCAGCAGCCGATGGTCAAGACCAAAACCATCGAGTTGATTGACTATGACAAACTACCGGCTGGACAAAACGCCACCGTCGCTGTCATGTCGTACTCTGGATACGATATTGAGGATGCTTTGGTGTTGAACAAGGCCTCGCTCGACAGGGGTTTCGGGAGATGTCAAGTCGTGCGTAAAAACACAATCCAACTTAAGAGATACCCCAATCATACAAAAGACATTGTGGGTGGTATGAGAGTTGATGAGAAGGGTGAGCCTATCTTTGCCCATGCTGCCTTGGGACCAGATGGTTTGGGAGAAGTTGGAATGAGAGTCGAAAACGGTCAAGTCTACGCCAATAAGCAAGTGCCCACCAACGCCGGTGAGTCTGTTCTTGGTGAGCACAACCAGATGCAAAGCGCAGAATCACACAGAGAAACCCCAGCATATTACAAGGGCCCCGAGCCTTCATATGTTGATCAGGTCATGATGTCTGTCAGCGACAACGATCAGGCGCTCATCAAGGTTCTTTTGAGACAAACCAGACGCCCCGAGCTTGGAGACAAGTTTTCGTCTCGACACGGACAGAAGGGTGTCTGTGGTATCATTGTTCAACAAGAAGATTTGCCTTTCAATGACGGCGGCGTGTGCCCAGATATCATCATGAACCCACACGGTTTCCCATCTCGTATGACTGTTGGAAAAATGATCGAATTGATTTCAGGAAAGGCTGGTGTGTTGAACGGCTCACTCGAGTACGGCACATGCTTCGGCGGTTCCAAATTGGAGGAAATGTCGCAGATTCTTGTGGACAAGGGATTCAACTACTCGGGTAAAGACATGTTGTATTCCGGTATCACCGGTGAGTGTTTGCAAGCATACATCTTCTTTGGCCCAATCTACTACCAGAAATTAAAGCATATGGTGTTGGATAAAATGCACGCCAGAGCCAGAGGACCAAGGGCTGTTCTCACGAGACAGCCTACCGAGGGTAGATCGAGAGATGGTGGTTTGAGATTGGGAGAGATGGAGAGAGACTGTGTGATCGCCTATGGTGCTTCGCAGCTTTTGCTTGAAAGATTGATGATTTCCTCCGATGCATTCGAGGTCGACGTGTGCAACAACTGTGGCTTGATGGGCTACAGCTCTTGGTGTAACACGTGTAAGAGCTCGGAGCACGTCATCAAAATGACGATTCCCTATGCTGCCAAGTTGTTGTTCCAAGAACTTTTGTCCATGAACATTGCTCCACGTTTGAAGTTAGGAGATGTATTTTAGCTTTTGTACAATAATTAATTGAACAGATATGGGTTCAGAGACTGTCATTTGAACGAAGTTTATGTGAAGGCGTTTGGGCAGGATGTACGACAAACCGTAACATATAGTTTCACTATATACTTGGTGCATCAATCCAGAAAGCGAGCCTGTGCTCTCAAAAACAACATGGAAAGTTACCTTCCATAAATCATCGCAGTTTGGAGATAGCTCTGTAGTAATACGATAGAACAACCCCACATGAGAAACAAGCAAGTAGACGTTTTTTTTATTTCGGCAATACTGGCAGAGGAAACGTACGTTCGCAATTTTTAATTATTTTCGCAATAATTAGGGTGGTTTCTTAAAACACCTCTGTTCCGAAAAACTGATTCTTGCCCTCCACGAGCAAATATAATTTTATAACAACGTTTTTACTGCCAATAATTAATGTAGTTTGTGATTCATCCCTAAGTTTCGCTTCATAAATATTTTTCGGAAACAATACCTATTCCTCCCCTAGATTCACAACCCGCTTTTCTCATGAGCAATTATACCATAGCCTTCTCCCCTTCTCTCTTCAATCTGTTCATGGTCTGGTGAATGAAATTATCAGGAATTTGCCATTCTTGTTTACACCAACGGAAAACATGAGAACTTAGATTCAAAGCCTAGGCTCATGCGCCGAGTTTAGTCACCCGAAGCCAGTAATATCGTACGCAGTTTACTGGTCCTCCTTGCGAATAGCATCACTGAGCGACTAGCATGCATTTGCAAATGGCAACATCCGGCAAGCCCTCGGAAACAGCGATCATTCGAGGCCACCAGCAGCACGTGCAAGCAGGTCGTGTACCTCTCAATACATCACCATGGAAGGTCCATACACCGCATGACTTCTAGCACCCTGCGTACTGTCTATCCTGCCGAAAAAAAGCCACGGATTACCAGCAGCTGCAGTAAATGACCTCACGTCTTTCTGCTTCTGACACCCCCTGATCTTCCCACGCTTATTTCGTCATGCTTGCCACCGGTGCCCCCGAAGACTCGTTTACTGGCCCCAACCTCAATATCACCCTCACGTGTCCCGAATGTAAGATTTACCCGCCAGATCTTATTGAGCGTTTCAGTGAGGGCGACATTGTTTGCGGCACCTGTGGTCTCGTGTTGAGTGACCGGGTTGTAGACACGCGGTCCGAATGGCGGACGTTCAGTAATGATGACCAAAATGGCGATGACCCAAGTCGTGTGGGAGATGCCGGAAACCCTTTGCTTGATAGCGAGGACCTCTCGACCATGATTTCTTATGCGCCTGAAAACGTGAGGGTGGGCCGCGATTTGAACCGCGCCCAGTCGAAGTCTTTGGTCGAGAAAAAGGACAATGCGTTGTCGGCTGCCTATGCCAAAATCTCCCAGATGTGCGACGGGTACCAGCTACCTAAGATCGTCCAGGATGCATCCAAAGAAGTATATAAGCTAGTGTACGACGAGAAGCGGTTGCGTGGAAAATCACTGGAGTCCATCATGGCAGCCGCTATCTTCATAGGGTGCCGGAACTCCAAGGTGGCCCGGAGTTTCAAGGAGATCTGGGCGCTCACCAACGTGCCCAAAACTGAGATTGGCAGGGTGTTCAAGATCGCCATTCTGGTGATCAAGGAGAAGAACGCCACCAATCCTAGTGCCTACTCATTGATGGAGGATAGTGAGCAGACCACGCAAACATCAGCCGAGGATCTCATCCGCCGTTTCTGCTCGCGCTTGGGTATCAAGAACGACGTGACCAATGCAGCCGAGCATATTGCCCGAAAGTGTAAGGAAAACGGAACCTTGGCCGGCCGTTCTCCTATTACTGTGGCGGCAACGGTAATCTACATGGCGTCACTTGTGTTCAAATCCGAGGTGTCGCCTTCCAAGATAGCCAGTAATACTGGTGTGAGTGAGGGAACCATCAAGACTTCCTACAGGGTGTTGTTTGAAAGTCGGGATAAGCTTTTGGACCCAAGCTGGAGCAAAAACGGGAAAACCGAGAGCTTGCTTGAGGGTAGATAGATGCCCGATTTTTTTTTTTGTTTTCTTTTTTTTTCTTTTTTGAATCAAATCAAAAATATTCAGTATATTATTGTGTACATTGTTACGTGAAAGGATTATTCTTTTGACTTGCCTAAACTGAGGCCCATCTTGAGGCCTTTGCCAACAGTGCCAACACCTTTACCAAGCCCTTTTCCGACGCCTTTCCCGACGCCTTTCCCGACATGGCCCACAGCTCCGACTCCGGAACCAACAGCACCGAAAGCATCACCTATGCGTGTAGCACTTGCGGGACGAACGTTGAGGACAAAGTCGGGCTTGAAACCAACCTTGAAGTGGACAACACCGGCGTCTTTGCCATCTTCATCGAGCAAGGGCACGTCGATCTCGATGTCTTCGTCCTTGTTAACCTCAGTAAGCTTCATCTCACCAATACCCAACAAGTCGTCTGGCTCGGGGCCCACGTCCCAGTCGTAGCACTTGACCCTGATTACCGAGTCGTATTTGTTTGCGGTCGTCACTTCTGTGCTCTCGTTCCAAGTTGGATCTAACGTCTTCTTGATCTTCTTACTCTTGAAGAAACAGTCCTTCTCAGTGTTCAAGTACAACTTGACATAGGGATCAGACTTCCCGTTTCGGTCCCCAGCAGGTAAGCTTTCAGCACTCAAAGCAGTGATGAGAACATGCCCACAATTGTTTGAAGTATCCTGTGGTGGTATCTCGCTCTTGTAAATGAGAGGAATCCACGATACCTGGACCGTCACCTTCGCACTGGTGGCACCTGGCAAGTCGATGGTCATTGGTTCGTCGAAACCATTCTTTAACAATTGCATGGTTGGGATTTTTGCTTCAGCAATGGCCTTCTCTGCTCGGTTGTACCCGGACTTCTTCACGAGTCTGAAAACAGTTTTGGACCAGTCAAGTTCTTTGATGATAACATCGCCTGTGATGTTGATTGTGTTGCGCTTTTCTCTTAGCTTGGGGGTCACGTAGTCATGGAGACCGTGGTTATCAAAGAACATTTGCAAATACAAATCGCTCTTCGCCGAATACACCTCTTTCACATCAAAAATCAAGACACCGCTCTTGTATTCTTGCAACTCCTCTAGACTCAACTTGAGCTTGTTAGACAGGTCGAACTCACTCTCGTCTTCTTCTTCCTCTTGGTCTTTCTTCTCCTTCTTCCCTTTCGCTTTGTCCTCGGCAGCCTTCTTTTCTTTCCCTGCCTTTTCCTCGGCGAACTTCTTCCTCATTTCTTTCTCCTCTTCAATCTCCTCCAAAGTCATGACTGGCAAAGTAGGATAGAAGGACAAGGAATAAGTCAAAGTACCCTTTGGGCCTCTCTTGTGGATCAACTTAGAGACACGCTTCTTTGGATCAACCGTTTCGATATAGTTACCCTTTTCGTCCTTGTTGATGAGGTCACTCAAAATCACATCGAAAGAGCCCAATGTTCTGTCTGGTCTGATTTTCTCGACGTCCATGACTTCCAAGGTCAACTTCTGGTTTGGAGAGGATAATGTTACGTAGTGCACTTCGTTCCATGTTGGATCCAAAGTCGACTCCACGGCAGTGGTGCGGGCCCTCTGGATTCCATTGACCAAAAGACGTGTGTAAGGATCGACCTTTCCGATACTCTCCAAGTTCCTCAAGTCCTCGGCGCGGTCAATGGCAACTCTAATCACACCAATGGGTGGGGTGTACCCTCCAGCGCCCGAGGCGCCCTCCAACATAACAGGCTTCCAGACCGTGCAGAGCTGGATCTCGCCACCCTTGGACAACTGGAACCAGGGGTCGTCAACCTGCGATGCGTCGATCAAGTTGTTCAAAGTAGTTTTGATGACACTGTAGATCTTCTTGTCTTTGGTCCTCACAATGACCTTCACCCTGGTCTTGGCACGGTTGAAGACAATGTGTTCCTTGCCTTGGCTAAAGCTAGGGTTGTTGTTGTTCTTGGCAACATGGGTCTTGATCAAAGACTGGTTGTCGACAAACAACTCCACATACGTGGACACGGGTTTGTCATCCGCACCCTTCAAGTTTCTGGCCGCGGAGACCTCCAATCTAGCTACACCGGTGTTCAAGTCGGGCGGCGGGATGACGGCGCCATCGGCCTGTCTCTGGGCCACCAAGGCGGGCATGAAGTGTAAGCCGAACAGCATTTCGCCCACGTGCTTGTTGTTGCGCACCACCGGCGCAGAAACGTCAGGCAACTTGTGTTGCTGGCTCAAGGTGTCCAAGTCGTACTGCACGGTGCCGATGACGTTGTCTTTGCGCACCTGGTTGCCGTTGTAGTCCATGACGGTGATGTTCAAGGGCTCGCTGAACGAGGAAATGGGGATGTGCAAGGTCTGGTTCCACACGGGCCTGCTGGTGGCCGGCTTGTGCGCGGTCTGCGCCAACACGGACTTGAAGAAGCCAAGCGTACAGTACGGGTCCACGGTGTTGTCGTCGCGGCCGTAGTTCTTCAAGTCCTTGGCGGACTTGACCGTGACCACCAACACGCCGATGGCGGAGTTCAACGGGGCGCCCGCCATCAACTGCTGGATGTTCAACTGGAACGAGAGCGGCGCAAACACGATGGAGCCCACGTACTTCTTGACCATCTCGTTGATGAACGGGTACAAGCCGGGCACGGCCAAGAGCTCCCAGTTGAACGGCGTGTCGCCGAAAAAGCGCGTGGCGAAGTCGAAGTGCGGCGGCTCCAAAAGCGACACGTTCACCGTCTCCACGTGCGGGAACGCGGCCATCATGCGCAAGCGCACGCGGAGCAAGCAGCGGAACGACACGTCCGACACCGTGACCGGCACCTCGAGCCCAAACACGCTGGCCTTGACCGTGACCTTCTGGTTGACCTTGCTCTTGGTCTGCTTGTTGATGGAGTCGGCCATTTCGTTGGGCGTGAACGAGCAGCCCCAGTCCATCACCACCACGTCGTCCGCGGTGCCCGCCAAGGTCTTGACCATGTCGATGCGCGGCGGCTTGGTGCCGGCCGTGAACGAGTCGAGCCACAAGGCCTTGATGAACGCGGGCGCCGGGCTGGCGGCCAAGATCGGGTTGGCCTGCTCCGTGACGATCTGCGCCACGGACGGCTCCAAGAAGTGCCAGAACTTCTCCAAAAACACGTTGAGCCAGTCGATGGTCTCGTAGTCGTTTTCGATCGAGCGGATGGAGAACTCGCGCTGCGCCTGGTCGCGGATCTGCTGCCGGAACTTGCGGACCGAGCTGCGGTAGAGAATGGCGGACGCCGCCATGACAAAGAAGACCGGCGCCAACGACAACCGGAGCCAGCCCGCGAGCCACGAGCACGTGCCGGCAGCTGCTATGTACGCCACGTTGTGGTACCAGTCTCCGTACGCCGCTGCGGGGAGATAGAGGTCGAAAAGCGACCCCCGCGAGAGCAAGTCCACGGCCTCGTCGTAGCCTGTCAACGCGTCGGCCTGCTCGAAGTGGCCCACCTCCTTCCAGCCGCGGTAAGTGGGTTCCACGGGCTGCCGGGCCTTTGGTTTTTCCTTGGCGTCGGACATGTCGAAGTCCTCGCTGACGGTCCAGTCCACGGCGCCGCCGTCTTGGGTGTTTGTGCTTGAGTTGCTGTCCTTGGTGTTGCTGTCCTTAGTGTTTTTGCTTGGATTGCTTGGATTACTTGTTTTGCTTGTTTTGCTTGCCGAGGAGTCGAGATCGGCGGCATCTATGTCCTCGACTTTGGCCTGTTTTGGAGGCTCCAAGATTTCAGCGGGCTGGCGGATGTTAGCAGGGCGTGTTTATGGGGGCGCCGGGCCCAATTGTAATGTACATACGGTTGCCGCCACGTCTGCCAGGTCCATTCTCGAGAATTGGCGTGGCTGTGGAGAGGTAGGGAGGAACAAGAAGAAGCCTGATGAAATGGCGTAGTTCGACTGGCGTTGCGGGTCGTGCGCGGCCCAGGGCCCGGTGCGGCGCGGCGCCGCGTACCTGCGTTGCTCGGGTTCCAGGCCTGCACCTGGCGCCGCTTGCGGAAGGCCCAGCTGGTGGGTCCTAGGCAGTGGGTGGATTCTTGCTCCCAGGGGCTATTCTGGAAGGTGGCGGATTGCGTGGCTGCATGCTGGTTTTGGATGCAGCAAGCAAAGTTTGGAAATATCACTTGTCGCTGGGAAATTGGTGCATGGCCTCAGTTATCCTGGGTGCCTCCAGACTTGCTCTGGGGTCCAAGAGCCGTGCGACAGCCGGCATTGAAATTGGGCCAAGCGCATGTAGGAAAGACAGTCCAGACGTATTGTTTATGAAATATGTGTTTTGTTTTTTAAGTGGTGTTTGTTTATGAGTGATGTATGTTTATGAGTGGTGTATGTTTATGAGTGGTGTATGTTTATGAGTGATGTATGTTTATGAGTGGTGTATGTTTATATGAGTACTATATGCTTATGAGTGGTGTATGTTTATGAGTGATGTATGTTTATGAGTGGTGTATGTTTATATGAGTACCATATGCTTATGAGTACCATATGTTTATGAGTGATTTATGTTTATGAGCGTTGTATGTTTATGAGCGATGTATGTTTATGAGAGATGTGTGTTTATGAGCGTTGTATGTTTATGAGCGATGTATGTTTATGAGTGGTGTATGTTTATATGAGTACCATATGCTTATGAGTACCATATGTTTATGAGGGATGTATGTTTATGAGGGATGTATGTTTATAAAAGCGGAGTTATATAAGTGGTGTTATCTGAGTGGGTTATCTGAATGGGACATATGATTATCTGAGTTGGATATATGGGTGGGTATCTGAGTGGGTTATCTGAGTGAGGTATAGACGTGAGTCTTACATGTGATGTAAAAGTGGGTTGCATACATGAGCTACATACATGGGCCATAGAGGTGGACTATATACATACTTCACATACACGGGTTAAAACCGAGGGTTCTAGACGTGCCTTATAGACGTGGGCTATATTTATGGGCTAAATAAATGGATTACATACGGATCAGACGTGAAACCAAATATAACTCAGTTCACAATACAGGGAAGTCCTTAGGCTTGCTCCTCAAGATCGAAACGCCTGGCAATTTCTGCATAGCGCATGTTCTACCGAGAAGGTCGTGTTTGAATGTCCTGAATTGGCGACGATAAATGCATTTTGGCCCCTCAATGCGTTTCGTGATTGCCTCGCAAAACTCAATCATACAATATCAATGCATCCCGAAAACCCAAACTAGAAAGATATCAGTAAACGACCCTTGCCTGCAATCAATTAAAACATGATTTTGTTCTCAACTGATCAGAAAAGGGGGCCAGTCCCGTTGGGCTTGACATGACTACCTGGTCCACCTTTCCGTGGGCAGTTACTCAACCCCTTCCTTTCTTTCAAGTGTCCAAAGAGCTAAGCAGTTTGATTCAGTTGAGGCACATCTGTAGAACACAATCAGTCAACATCTGTAAAGTACTTGGTAGCCAGTTTTTCAGGTAAGATTGGCCGATCTGACCTAGAATGTGGTGTCTACTCCAGAAAGATTGAATGGAAATTCTAGGTTTGAAGAATCCCAGGAGCATCAGACCACCATAGCTTGCGCTCGAAAAGATTTTGTCCGGTGGGGGAGCACCTTCTGCCAAGTCTAACTCGTGTCAGCTATATATGCCATGAAGTTTAGACTCTCATCCGAAAGTCAATGCAGCTATGAATAAGTCTTTGACAAAAACCAACTCCACACTTATGGGTGACTGGCTCTGTTCTCCAGCACTGATATACACGAGCTGTACAGTCTTTTGAGGTCTTTGCGTATGCTTTGATACCAGCGGTATGCTGTTTGAAGAGAGAGGCTGTGTCGGCATCTTCCGGCATGCCTTCTTTATAGCTGACGTGAAAGGGCTTCTTATATATACAATAAAAGAGTAAACGGTACACAGTGAACCGTTTATATGCGTTATACAGCCAACTTCTTGTCTGTTTGGAAACTATTTGGGTCTGTGATGGTTGAGTGTTCTCTCGTGCCCATTTCATCACCTTAGGTTTCATGACAGAGATGGGACTCCCAGCTTTCAAAGCGTTGTTGTAGACAAGCTTGATCATGCCCGGATTGTCAGTTGCTTATCTTCTGTAGTTTTCCAGTGACCCCGGATTTTTGAGACAGGCCCGATGGCGTTGTTTTGGTTGATGGACCCAAAATAAAAATTGTGCGGATGTTCAGGCAGCAGATCGGTGGAAACGGAAGAGACCATCGAGATTCATAGCGAGATTCACAGAACAAGCACTTGTGCTGGCTGAAGCTGTCGTCTGGTAATCAGTCAGTGAAATATAATAGACTGTCTGTGGTGAAAATGTCCTATTGCCTGCGAAGATCAATATGAGACAGAATAACGTATGTAGTGCTGTGGTCAATGGGCTCCAGAATCTTGGCTTTCCAGAGAATTATCTTAAAATTCCGGAAACGTTTCTCATTAGAGCCACAGTCCAACACAGCTTGAAACTGATCCGTTGCTTGATTCTCTTCCGAATCAGGAACCTGTGTTATCTTTAGAGCATGTACAATTTTTTTATTGGTCTCTCCATCCACGTTGGCAGTCTATACCTGCCGATTACATGCGGCTTAATGGCCTGGGTGCTTGTTCACTCAACACCAAAAATGTCAGATGAAACACCAAGCAGGAAGAAATCTGGGTGTATACTTTCTGCTGAAAGTCCCAGCCTCTAATTTCATTGAGCAGAAGTGCACCCATCGCAGAAATAACACAAAGAGGGCGTCTCGAGTGATTTTTGTAAGTACTGCTCAAACCCGTCCTGGTCCTGTTTTTATTGCGATATATATTCCAGCGGGGAGTTGAAGGTGAGGTTCTGGAACGTGTTGTTTGTCGAATCGCAGAATCCACTATCAAGAAATGTCAAGTCTCGTATCCCTAAAGTATGCTGAAACTTGAAGCACTGCAATCAATAGTTTTCAAGCGGCATTCTAGTCTTCCGACATCAATGTAAAGCACACGACGAGGCCGGCCTTGGGGGATCTTTTGAAGGACTTCTAGTGTTTATAGTTGACGAGAAATCCGAAGGACCACCCAGCGTTTTTTATGAAGGGCTTCCACCAGAGCCCCGTTCATGTTGCTTTCACACTCACTTCAAATTGTTCTCAGGGCTTTTCAATATAACTCTTGGTCTCCTCAGTCTCGGTACAGAGCCCCCACAAAATTGGCTTGCTGATGTTTTGATATGGCTTCCCAGTATATTTCAACATACCGCAGAACGCGTCTCGGAGTTCGGCCCGACTCTCGCCCTGCCAACTGAGCCAAGATGGTTTTCTGTTCCCCATGGCAATAGATTCTACATTGAAGCTGTAAACACGAGACGAGTGCCGAGGAGCGTTTCTCGGACCCCTCCCCTTATTCTCAATTTTCAAAATGGGCGGGCTTTCCGCACTCCATGCAATCAGTGGGACTAATGAACCAAGCTGGGGCCAGAGATTACCTTGACACCATCGAGGCGCACGGCACTAATCACCCAGATAATAACGAACGGCCGTCAGCACCAACCACCACCATGCTTGGGAATAAACACAGCAAAAAAACATGAACGCAGCCATGAAAACACAGCGACATATCCAAATAAGCCAAGCCAGCAAGGACGCCAGAAAATGAAGCCACATAAAGGAACGAAGCCACGTAGAAAATAAAGTCGCATAAAAGAACAATGCCACGCAAAGAATAAAGTCACATAAAAGAACAAAGCCACGTAAAAGAACAAAACCACCAGAAGAACAAAACCACGCAAAAAAATAAAGCCACGCAAAAAAATAAAGCCACGCAAAAAAATAAAGCCACGCAAAAAAATAAAGCCACGCAAAAAAATAAAGCCACGCAAAAAATAAAGCCACGCAAAAAAATAAAGCCACGCAAAAAATAAAGCCACGCAAAAAAATAAAGCCACGCAAAAAATAAAGCCACGCAAAAGAACAAAGCCACGTAAGAGAACAAAACCACGCAAAAATAAACCACCAAAAGTACAAACCCACGCAAACCCACGCACAAAAATAAATCCACTCGCCCAAGACCCGCCCCATCGTCCCCAGCCTCAGCCCAGGTTCGCCAGTCCCTCCGCCCGGTCTTTCCCAGGCGCCCTCTCCATGCAGGCGCGGCGCGCCTCACATCAACGGCCTCCACTAACATAGCCAAGTAGCCGCCAACCCCATCTTTTCTCCCCCAAAACACCCACAAATCGTGCCCCCACACCGCCCTGCGCTGCACACCCAGCCTACCATGCGAGCCCCGCACACGCCCATACCCAGGCTCGTTGCCGCGGCCCTCGTGCTCCTCTTTTTGCGCCGGTGCTGCGCGTCCCCCGATCCGCCAGGGGGCGTGTTTCTGTCCCCTCCAAACAGCGCCCCCACCGGCGCCAGCGGCCTGGCAACACGCGGCCTGTTTTTGCAGCACGTCCCCGGGGCGCCGGCGGCGGGCACAAACCGCGCGGCCGCGCCGCCGCGCCCCTGGCCGCGGGACATCGACCCGTCCTTCTCCAACGTGGTCAACTCGGTGTTCCCCGTCGACATGGTGGTGTCGTACAACGCGTCGGGCGGCCGCGCCGGCGGCCAGATGGTGGCGCGCTACGCGGCGTTCAGCCCGGTGCTCCGCGGCGAGCTCCGCGGCCACTACGTGTTTGTCGCCGGCAGCGCGTGTTCCGAGATCGCCGCCCACCAACACCCCGAGTACACGGACAAGATCTTGGTGGTGGCGCGCGGCAAGTGCACGTTCGTGCAGAAGTTGGAGAACATCCGCGGCGCGCGGCTCGCGCCCCGCGCGGTGGTGGTGGCCAACAACGTGCCGCACGGCGGGCTCATCACCATGTACTCGCGCTCGTTCAACCGCGACGAGCAGCTCCGCTTCCCGGTGCTTTTCTTGGGCTTTGAGGACGCCGAGACGTTGCGCGCCATGCAGCCCGCGCGTCCGGAGTTGGCGCTCCGCACCGCGCCGTTCGACGGCTTCCTCGGCCTCGTGCTCCTGATGGCCGTGCTGCCGCCGCTCGTCATTGTGGCGTGCTACGCCGTGGTGCGGGCGTCGCAGTGGTGGGCCCGCCGCCGCCGCAACGCGCGCAACCGCCGCTACGTGCGCCTGCTCCCGGTGTACATCTACGCGCGCACGCACCTAGTGCCGTGGCCCGCGTTCTACGAGTACCTCTTGGCCACGGGCCAAACCGACGACATCCCGCTGGCGCTGTCGTCCGTGGCCGACGTGGCGGGCCCGCCCGCGTGCGGCGCGCTGGCCGCGCCGCCCTTCGTCGCCGGCGGCACGGACCTCTTGCTGATGCCCGACTTGCACATCTTGTACGCGGCCGCGGACTTCTACCCGACGCAGAAGTGCGCCATCTGCCTCGGCCGCTTCGTGCCGCTCAAGCTGCGCGTGTTGGTGCTCGCGTGCAAGCACGTGCACCACGAGGACTGCCTTGCCAACTGGCTCATCAACTTCCGCAGGACGTGCCCGCTCTGCAACGAGGCCGTGCGCGCTCATGATGCGCAGCAGCTACTCACGCATGGCGGCCACGGCTACGGCACGTTCGCCGCCGACCCGGAAAACCCGACCCCGGCGACAGACGACGCGCCCGGCCCCGCCGCGCGCAGCTTGCGCGTGGACCTGGCCCGCTCCGGGCTGGACGACAGCGAGGGGCCTCGGCCCTCCTGCTCGGGACAGGCCCTGGCAAGCCGCGCCGACCGCGTGCTTCCCATCGCACGCGTGCCGCTGTCGGACTCGTCCTTCGTCACGACCAAGACCCACCAGTCTGGGGACGCGCCTTCGTCGTACCACACGTCCGCGGGGGTCTTTCCGCCAGACAGCGGTGACGACACGCAGCTGGACGAGTCCGGCCACTCCACGCTCCGGTTCTAGGAGCCTGCTCTCGTGGGGCGCCTTCGCACGTGGGACTGGGGGTTCGCACCCGCGACCTCGCACGGCTTCCATGGTCGCGCGCCCACGCCGACCCCACAACTCGTGCCGCGGCGGCGCACGTGACCTGGGGAAGCAGTGCGCGCCGTTGTTTGGGAAAAAAGGCTCCAAAACTCATCTGGCCCCACGGTGCCCAACATTGACCCCGCTGCCAGGCCCTCCGGTTCCGCACAGCACACCCACCTAGCCCAGACAGGCCTCGGAAAATACTTCCCTATTCTTTCCATTTGAATTGTGCTCCGCAGACTGCCCCAGATGAAGCAAGAGGCGGCCGACACCTCCCCGCACGAAGCCCCACCCCTGGCGCCGCTGGCCCCATCCGAGGCCGCCGAGAACATGGCGCCCAGCTCAAGTACATTCTCCGCCGGGGACCCCGAAAATATCCTCCAGGCTGAAGCCGGCACGGAGCCGTCTCAAACAAAGCCGAGGAGACGAAAGAAAAAAGTCGAGAAGGCATGCGTGTATTGCCGCCGCTCGCACATGATCTGTGATTCCGCAAGGCCGTGCTTGAGATGTATCAAGCGGGGCATCGGCCACCTATGCCACGACGAGCCAGCATCAAAACAGAAGAAAAAGGCCACCGCTGATTTTGCAGGCGCGGCCGTGCTTCTGGACTCGCAGTCCACATCGTCGCAGATCGACCCGGATCAGCCGGCTGCCATCCTTGCTAACCAGCCCATGGACTCGTTCCGCCTGGAATATGCCCCTACTGTGGAATTGCCCAGCCAGTTTGCGAGGACCTCTGTGAACCCTCAGGCCAAGGCCGCGGGTCTTAATAAGGCGCTCCCGTTCAATCAGGAGCCGTTTTTCTATTCAGAGCACGCGGGCAGTGAATTCAGCTCTCTCAATGATTTCCTTTCCATCATCGATGACCCTGATCTTGTCAATGGCGCCTTGCATGACGACCACACACACGGCGACTCTTTGCTACCGTTTCTGATGAACCCCGATGGCGGGGCCTCCACAACAAACCTTAACAGCCTACTTCAGTTTTCGCCGGCCTCCAACACAATAAGTGCATTTGCAGAAAACACCATGAATGGCGGCCAAATGAGACAAGATCCTCAGGTTCTACCGCTCAACAACACCCATCTCCACGTGGCCGAGACAGGTGTGCAGCCCAAAGCGCTTCCGGTTGGAGCAGGCGATGGAGTGAACAACCAGCCGGTCATCTCAGACTCAGCTCGTGATAAGTTTTTCTTAACTGCGGCCGATCCAACAACAGAAATCTCGCCGGAAGAACGACTCAAGCAAGTCATCAAGGCAAAGCTCGAGGCGGGCTTGCTCCAACCCTACAACTATGCAAAGGGGTATGCCCGATTGCAAAGCTACATGGACAACTTCATGAACCAGTCATCGCGCCAGCGGATTTTGAAGCCGCTTCTGATTTTCAGACCCGCTTTCCGTGCCATTGCCAAGACATTGAAAGATGTCGATTTGGTGCTTGTTGAAGAAAGCTTCGAGCGGATGCTCTTGGACTATGATCGGGTATTTACGTCTATGGCAATCCCCGCGTGTCTCTGGAGACGCACGGGCGAAATCTACAGGGGAAACAAGGAGTTTGCGTCCTTGGTTGGAGTGATAACAGATGACTTGAAAGACGGTAAACTAGCACTCTATGAGTTGATGAGCGAAGAAAGCGCTGTGAACTTCTGGGAGAAGTACGGTGCCATTGCCTTTGACAAGGGCCAGAAAGCTGTGCTCACAAGCTGCAATCTTCGTACAAAAGACGGGCGCAAGAGGAAAAGCTGTTGCTTCAGCTTCACCATCCGAAGAGACCGGTATAACATTCCCAGCTGCATAGTGGGCAACTTCATCCCAATCGATCCGTGATGGAGAAGAAATCGGATCTTATTATTTATTGATGTCACTTTGGCATATCTATGTTGAAACGTCGTAGTACTACTCGTGGGCCCCGGTGCCCCGTTACTCCTCGTCCTCGTCCTCGCCATCGTCGAGCTGAACGTCCTCGTCATCTTCAGCCTCAATGGCGTCCTCCATCTCGATGTCCGCAGTCTTCTTTTTCTGCTTGGCCTTCTCGTCCTCGATCACCGCTTCCTTCAAGATTCTGGCCTTCTCCTCCCTGGCGTTTCTGTGGACAACCACATACTGGCCCAATGGCGTGGATTCCCACTTCTCATCCTTGAGGAACGCCTGGACCTCTGCCTTGTTCAGCGGGCCGTACTCGACGCCGCTTCTCTTGGCCGTTATATAGTTGGCGTTGGAGTTGAGTTTCTCCACAAGCTGCTGCATCTGTTTGTTGAACTTGATGTTCTTGGATTTCTTCATGAACCGGCGGAGCGACAAGATCACCGGCGTGACAAGCTCGGGGAAGGCAATGGATTTACAGTACAACACCAAGAACTCGCTGGTCAACTCGAGGAACTGCTCGCACAAGCCGTCCTGGTATGCACGCGTGCCCAAGTACTGCTGGTTCACCTTGATGATGTAGTTGAAGTCCACGGCCGGCAAGGACACGTTCTTTGGGGGCTTGGAGAACGCGGTGGACGTCAAGATCTCGAAGATCAACGGGTAGATCGGGATGTACACGCCCGTGCCCTGCGACAATCTGATCAATGAGCGGATGAGGTAGAAGCGCAAGGGGAAAAACTGTGCGGTGGGGATCAAGCGAATGGCGCCCAAAGTGACCTGGACCAACGGGTAGATCAACGGTCTCAAGGGGGACTCGTGGGACTTATGCGACACCAATTCCTTCTCGGGGTCACACTGCTTGGCCAACACTCTGGACCAGAAGTCCAACGAGTGGCAGAACTGCCAGTTGTAGATGGACTTGTACGCGTCCTTGCCCGAGGACTCCGACACATTGCTGGTGGACGAGATGGTGTTCCGCAAGTGCACGGCCAACTGGCGCACGAACTCAAAGCCAATGGAGTACGACAAGTTCTCGTCAATGCCAAAGAGCTCTGCGGCCGAGTTCTTGGCGAAGTTGAGAGAGTCCATGGTGTGCACGTTGGTCTTTCTGCAGTTCTTCAAGAACGACGAGTACGAAGATCTCAAGATGATGTCCAACGTGGACTTGGGGTACTCTCTGGCCGCGTTGTTCATGAAGGCGTAAGTGGACACCTGAGTCTCCACGTTGGTCGTGGACGCCCACACGTCCACCACAGAACCTAAGATCTGCTTAAGGATCTTTCTCTGCGAGATGTAGAAAGGCAAGACCTCTTGCACAGAAGCCAAGACCAACGCCGCAGTCTCCGTGTTGGTGATGTCCTGTAAAAGCGTGATGTACGCCCCGGCCTGGCTCTTCAACAAGCGGCTGACCACACGCGTTTGGGCGTTCTTGGCGTCGACGGACCGCACGTCCTTCAGGTTGACTTTGTACGGGGCCAACTTCTGCGCGGCCTCCGGCACGCGTCTCAAGCCAACAAACATCAAGTCGGAGAACACGTCCGGGTCGTTGAAGCTATATCGGGACTCGTTCTTGTCGCTCGAGTTGATGTACACCACGCTCTTGAAAGCAGAGATCGCGTTCTGGATGGTCTTGGCCTTGGGCTGCTCCTTCAATTGCTTGTCCCATTTGGCCACGAGCGCCTTGGAGATATCTATCTTCTGTTTGGCCGGCGCAGCCTCCACTTCCTCCTCGGCGTCGCTTGCCTCTTCGCCAGACTCGTCGCCCGATCCTTCGCCGTCGTCGGACATGGCGTCTAGCGGGTTGACTCCCTCGAAGTCAAGCAACTCCTTTTCGTTGTTTTTCAAGTACTTGTAGAACTCCGGGTCCTTGTTTTCCAACTCGGCCATATCCTGCTTCATCATCTCTTCGTCCTCTTCGTCTGAGGACTCGCCCTCGCTGGCCTCCTGACCGGCTTCTTCCTGGTCAGATTCAATTTCGGGGTCCATGTCGGAGCCCTCATCTGAACTGTCGTCGGCGCTGGCGCCCGAGCCCTCGGCAGAACCCTCGTTTTTCGCGGCGTCAGTGCCTTTTTTGGGGTTGGGGACCTCGAAGCCGCCCTCGAAGAACTTGTCTACGGGCATGTCATCGAAAATGGGTCTCGTGGATTTCTTCTCTTTGGGCTCTGCAGGTCCGTTTCCCTTGCCTCTCCTCTGGGCCATTTTCTTGTTCTGCTTCTGCACCTCACGACGATGCTCGATCGTGTGCTTCAAGTGCTTGTTCTGAAACTTTTTCGTGGCTTTCGACGCTTTCCCCATGTTGAAGTGTCTGTGAAGTATCACGTATTAGATGGAATGAAAAATTACCCATGTGAGATGAGATGAAGCTCTTCGCTGGGAGGGCATTGTGTGCAGGCCGCGACTACGGGTGGGTGCAAACCTTTGTTCGAGAACCGGGAATTAGGATCACGGATTCGACCATTAAAGATGTTTTGTTGTATATATTTGGCCCACTCCTTGAGGCTGAGTCACATTTCTATAAAGTAACCGGTGAACGCTTGCTTGAGCCACCAAAATAACTTGTCATACACCACTGTGTTCGCGTTATTGTAGTTGATCGAATGGTCGCTATCGGGGAAAAAATGCACGTCGTAGTTTTCGACCCCTGCCTGGTCGAAATTGTCCATGAGCCACATGGCGTTTTGCATGTGCACGTTGTCGTCGGCCGTGCCCTGCATTATCAAAAATCGCTTCACGTCCTTGAACACAGCGAAGTCATTGATGCGCGATATGGCTTGGTAGTTATTGTTCGTCTTCGGGTCTCCCATAATTCTCTCCGTGAACACAGAATCATAAAAAAGCCAGTTTGTCACCGGTGCCACGGCCATGCCGTACTTGAACACATTTCCCTTGTCAAACTCGAGTGTTTTCAAAGCAGTGAACCCCCCATATGACCAGCCCCAGATCGCAGTTTTCTGATCATCGACGTACGCGTTTGCTGCCACGTAATCTTTGGTTATAGCAACAATATCTTGCGGCTCCCAAAGACCCATGTTTCCTTTCAGATGGGCCTTTAGTTTCCAGTCGTCACTGCCAGTTCCCCTCGGATCGATGATAAGAACCACCGCATTCAACTGGCTGCTGACAATGTCCTGAAAATCGACCCCAAAGGCTCTGTTCACTGTGGTAGACCCTGGCCCGCCATAGGCGTGCACTAAAAGAGGATGCTTCTTCTCGCGCCGGAAGTTGGGAGGAAAGATTTCAATCACATTCACATGCTCCGACTCGCGCCCCACGCGAACGGAGCTGAGAACTCTCGTGGGGAGATTCGTGCTAGAGATAACCGCAGAAAAACGAGCCGAATCATCAAAGTTCTCTCTTTGGGAGATGTATCCGGCATTCTCGGCCACCAACGCCATGTTGATGACTTTCGTCCATGGCAGTGCTGGGCCCATATACACGAGCTCTAGAAACTGGCCGTTGGGGCTGAAGTTGAGTACAAAGTCCCCGTCTGTTGCAAGCTCTGTCTTGTTGGCATTCGTCAAAGACACCAGTGCAAACGAAGAGTTCAAGTTTGTGCCAAATATCCCATAGACACAGTCCTCAAGTTCATCGTACGAAAGAGGAGAGTTGTAGCTGACCGGCCCAAGAAGTTTCGAGTAATCCTTTGAAGACGCCAGGTCAAAAAGAGCTAGCTGCACCACGTCATCCACAACTACTCTGTCGAGGTACTGAATCAAGCCGCCTCTCTTCGCCAAAGTAATGGGCGGTGTTTTCTCTATCCAGCCACTGTAGTCAGATGCGTTTTGGAACGAGACGAGCGTGGCGCCGGACGAGTCAGCAGGGCAGTAGAGTTTCTTTTCTAGCACCGAGCTGTGTCTGTCTGACACTTTGATCAAGAAATTGTTCTGGTCTACCCATGCAGCGTCGTAAAGCAAGTAGTCGTCTTTAACGACCTTGTTGCTTACGCCTGCGATTTCGGTTGTCGTTTTTTGTTCCATGGAATACGAATATAGCCTCGTTTTCGGGTTGGGTGTTCCTGGCTTGGGGTACTTGATGGATGTATGTTTTGGGTATTGGTTGAGACCACCAGGTTTGACACTGGGCGCCATGTCTTTGTATGACATGGCCACTTCCCCCGAGCCCTTCACATAGTAGTCGAGGTCGTAGGCTTCAACCTCAGTGTCGTTGATTTGCGCATACACCATATGCTTCAGATCGGGGCTCCACCAGACCATGTGGTCGTGCGGATACACCTCTTCTTCGAGCACCCAGTCGGGTTTTCCGTTGAATACATCCAGGCTGCCAGTATTGGTGACGGGGAGAATGTCTCGCGTGTTCACATCCATCAAATAGAGGTCATGCTCGAACCCAAAGACAAGGTGTCTGCCCGACGGATCGAACCGGGCAAAATGGATTTTTTGCAAGTCGACGCCGAGTTTTTTTGACGGTGGCTGGACCGGAAACACCTCGCCCGTAATTGGTTTCCATAACCAGAAAAACGAAAACGACGAATGCCGCCATTGTGCAACCAGATCCGACCTGAGCAAATGCATGGCCGAGCGGTTGTTTACGGGCTGTCCGGGGTTGAGAATCACGTCTTGTGCATAGTAGAATTTGTTTTGGTAGGCGAACTGGTTGGAGTCCAAAATAGTTTCCTCGTACTTCTGGTCAGCCAGGCACACCACTAGTTTATCCTGCTTCCGCGTGACGTAGTACCCTTTGGAATCCGAGCCACGCGAGGCCGGAAACTGGGCATTCTGAAGCCATCTGAGCGGGCTGAAAGATGGCGTGTATAGGCCCTTTCGAAGATCCGGGAATGACGCGTTTTTGAGGCTCGGATTGAAGCTGTTGAGCGAGATGTTCCGGTGGCTCAACTCCACAATATTGGTTTCTGCGCCATGCCATAATAACGCGGCGTTGATGCGGGCGTTGCCGTTCGAATAAACGATCAAGGAAACGGCCCATATTAGCACGCAGAACACGCCTAGAAGCATGGCCGCACGCCTGGAAAAATCGCCGCCTTTTGTGAAGATGTTCCACTGGACCTGAAAGCCTGGATCGTGCTCGAAAGTCTCCTCATTCTGGGCGCTTTTCAGAGCATGGCTGATATCTTCAAACAACTGTGACGTGGCCGAATCGTCCGAGTCCGTTTCGCCATCTACGACTCCTGTATTGAGCGCCAATTGAGCGTCATTGATCTCGTGAGATCGTAGGGTTTCCAAGGGAATAGCCTCGAACGGCTCTGTGTCTAGTCTTTTGTAAGAATCACCTCTCATACTAGTGCAGACCGAGGGTAGGATTGCCGATTCGGGGTGTATCAATGTTGCTTCTGTGAAACCGACTTTTGGGTTTATGCACAAATAAAGTGGCGTGGGGTTAATTCAAGCCCGCAGGATCTGGCGTCTCCACTATTTGTCTGTAGTAGCAAGTCTTGGTAAGTTTAGATAATACAAGTAGTCACGTGCGCGGTCCCCATGGGGAGTTTTGGAGGGTGCGCAGATATTGGGCAATCTGCTCGGAATGGTTTGCCAGCAACACCGACGGGCCTGTCTGTTCTTCCTGCTTTTTTCTTTCGAATATTTCTCTTAGCGAGCCGTCATCCAAGCAGCCAAAAAAAAACCTAAAAAGCGGCGTGTTTCAAAAATCTCGCTGGTCTGTCTTTCTTTAGTGCCCGCTTTATAGCGCCTGCCCGCACACAGGCTCTGCCTTACCTTTTCGGTCCATAAAGGACACGCTGCGACGCGCAGCCTTGGTGGCCCTAGGCCCAATAAAGAGGGGGGCCACAGCACCAGGTCCCAGCTGAAGGAGGATTCCGAAAAGAAAAAAAAGCAGGGGAACGAAAAAAGAAACGAGAATCCCGTGGCTGCTGCTGCTTTTGTGTTGTGGCCCGACTATATAAGGGGCCCCTTTCCCTTGGCTTTTCCTGCTAAATTTATATACCCATTCGCAGTCAAAGCAGCGCCCCGTCTAGCGCAAGCTTTCGGTGCGCGCAACTTCATAACTATGGCCCGGGCCGTGGAGATATATTAGGCACACCAGGCAATACATTTGCAAGCCATTGTTCTCCATCCAACGTTTAATATTCATTTCCGTGTGCGACGCTACTCTTTTCTTTTGTCCCGATACTTGCCGGATCGTGAAATCTTACCCCGCAGCAGGACAGAACAAACCCACGAACTCCATTGGTGCTTCCCCATACAACCTAGTGTGCCACGTATCGCCCAGACAGTCCCCGAAAAATGGACTATTCTCGGCTTTTTACCAGCGAAGCTTCGGAAGCCGAGATCGCGGTTCTTTTTGACGCTGATTTTGACAACGCAGAGTTTGCAAAAGCCCTCAGTCTGGCCGTGCCCCATATATGGACGGGCTCAGAAAGGTCCATTGCTGCCATTGGCCGTGTCTTCCGTCTTGGGGTTTCTCAGTTTGCGTCGATTCTGGAGGACTTGGACGGAAGCAGTACTCCCGAACCCCGCAGCTTGAAATCCCTGGCGCTCGGCGGAAATTCAGCCAGTGTCTCTGCCTCTAGCGAACTGGAACTTGCAAGAAGCATCTCTGCCTCAGAATCGCCGGAGTTTGCCGTGGGCAACTCGGGAGACGATTGCGAAGATGAAGACGGCGAGGACATCACCAACCTCGCGAAACCCCGACGCAAATCGAGCTCTGACACGGATATATCTGGACCCGTGAACTTGGATGAGTCCGTGGATGTGACGGAATCTGCGGACGCAAAACCGTTGGTGGATACGGGTATGTACCAAGGCTTGAACTTGAGCCTCTACTCGAACAATCCATCCGAGATTGCTATTGATGACGAGCACAAGATCGCAAGAATCGGCCACGTCGCAGACGTGCTCGCCGAATGGTTCTCGGTGATTTCCAAGCAAGCCCGGAAGAAAGGCAAAGACGCGTTTTGCGTTCTTTTTGGGCCGCCGGGATCAGACAAAACCCCGAACGACAACCACTTGCATTTGCTCTTGTTCCGCATCAAGATCTTCATCGAGAGAGCGATCGAGCTCAACGATCTCGACAGGGCCGGTGCATTGAGGAAGTTTATCATTTTGATCCACGAGATCTTGCATGCGCTTTTCGTCGCTTTGACGCTCGAGGCCGGCATGGCGAACGCAAACAGCGTCCTCGTGGTAAAGAGCTTGCTATTTTGTTTCTTCCAGGTCGACTTTTCTGAGGCGCTCCAAGCACTTTTGACCCGAACCACAGGGAAACAATTTGTTGATCCCAAGCCAGATGATGCCAAAGAAGAAAACAGCGCTGCAGAGCACGCTCGCCAGGCAAGGAAACCAGAGCTCAGGCTCTCCTATGAGGCCGTGATGAAAATCTATGCCATTTATCTCTCGCTTGCAAATTGCCCCATTGACCTCATCCTCGTGGACAAAGTCTCGTTGTCGCTCGACATCACGACGCCTGAGGACATGTCGCCAAACACGTACACGCGTTTTCTTGAATTACTCGACTTCTCCAAAGAAAAGACTTTCGCCCCATTGACCAACAGGCTTGTAAGTCAATTGGCGGCCATTTTCAACTATTACTATGAATTGTCGCCGGATATCTTGAGACATTCGCTCAGGCACTCGTCGTTTTTTGGCTGGGTTACCGGCAATACGTTATCCCCCCGACTGTATCTTTCCACAGACACCACGCTGAGCGTGACGTCATTTGCGAAGATCGCATTAGATCCCGTCGACCCTTACTTCTATGAAGTGGACCTCTATGAACACAAAAAAAGAATCAAAGTCGTGGGGAAAGAAACAGACTCTGTGGCTGGCGTGCGGAGCCCGTCATACCTTGCGATAACTTTCCAAATGTTTCAGCTTCTACACAACAGGACATTTACAAAAGAGCTTGTTTCGCAGACAAACAGCACTGTTTGCTTACTCGATATCTGGTTGTGTGTATCTTCCTACGTGCATCATTACCAGTATAGATCGGCCATCAACACTTATGGAGCGAGAGTATCTTTTCTCATGTTGCTCAAGTTGACCTCACCCAAGGCGCCATGGCTTCTGGCTCTTCGGGCCCGCAAAATTGACGAGAACAAATGGAAATTGTGTCACCACAAACATCCGGTGATCCCACTCGACGAAAACTGCCCAGAGAAAGACGCTTTGCTCTATGTGATTGATCTTCTCCAAATCACGTTCAGGTACAATCTCTCCAAGAGGTTGGACATGGAAAATGTCAAGATCGCGCTTACGGTGTTGTATCAAGTTCTCTTGGAGCTTGAAGCCCATCCAACAGAAGGCCTTCGTACCTATTCCTGGAACGATTTGTACGTGGCTTTGGTGTACTTCATGAAATTCGTTGCGCGAAGCCAAAACGAAGAAGCAGTCAAGTACGTGATTGAGGAGTTTTTCTCTATCCTTCAGCTTCTCCTCAGCCCGGCTTTTGATAAGATCTTAGAGAAGAGCACTGATTACTTTTCGCTTGGCTACCATCCGGCCAAATCCATGAATTTCGACTTGCTCTACATCATGCTTCAGCAGCACGATACTTTGGAAGCACTTTTCAGCAAGTTCATCAGGAGAAAAAAGAACTTCGGGCGCGTGGAGAGGGCTTTTCTTCAGCTCAAAGAAAAAATATCGTCGGTTTCTGACCGTGAAATCAGTGACAGCGAAGTAACGAGGATCTTGAACGAGCTCTCGCTTCTTGACGAGGAAAACATGCAGTTGACAACCATAACGATCGACCGGTTTAACTATGCGGAGACATTCAAGTATCTTGACAGGGACTACGAGGATTTCAGCAAGCAACGAGAGCTTATGAAGACATTTATTTCCATATTTGAGACGGACTGGGTTGGCGACGCGAGCCGCAACCGGTAGCCTGGATACATCCGAGGCGAACTACTCGAAAAATAAAAGTACAGAATAGTTAAACCTAAGGAAGCTCTACAACATATATCCATCCGAAACAATCAATCCTTCTGGAGCGTTCTGAAGAAATCCATGCAGGTGGTGAAGACCACCAAAAGGATACCGCCACCTGGGCCCAATCTCAAGACCTTGGGGATGAAACCCTTGTACAAGGCGCCGACACCCTCCTCCTTGGCGACAGTGAGAACAGATGGAATGGTCCAGATGTACTTGGAGGATCCGGCCTGGATTCTGGACTTGACCACGTCAAATGGAGTGTTCAACATGGTTCCAAAAGTGCATCCGATGGTGCCGCACGTCAAATCTATAAGGGTCTTTTCGGACGAGCTCTTGGGCTGGGGCATCCAGGTTCTCACCTGGTGGATCAAGCCAAAGTACCCGGCGTTCCAGGCCACGTGTCTCCACATGGTGGACTCCAAGCCTTTATACAAGCCCAAGATTCCGTCGGACTTGATGATGTGCTTGACAACCTCGCCCGCGCTGTTGAATTTGGAGGTTCTGTCTTGCAACTGGATCTTCACCAACTCGAAAGGCACCACCACAAAAGTCTCGGTGGCACCGGCAGTGGCACCCGTCAAAACAGCCAAGGGCTGCGTCATTTTGGGCACGTCAAACGCGTTTCTGTAGAACTTTCCCCACTCGTCGTTGGCGGCAAACTTGATGGCTCTCTTGGGCGCCTCCATCAAAATCGGCGCGGAAATACCCTTGTACAATCTGGAAAAGCCCTCCTCGGCAACGATTTTCTTCAAGCATCTGATGGTACCGTTGTAGTCGGCCGTGGTGGCCAACTGCTGTCTTGTTTTGACGACATCCAAGGGGTACATGACCATGATTTCAGACACTCCGGCAATAGCGCCGGAGAGGAACTGGTACATAAAGGGCAAAGGCTTAGGGTCAGACATTGGTGAAGAGAACGGGCCAAATCTGTAGGACAAAAAACGCAAGTTTTTTGGTGCGGTCACGTGGTCAGACTGCTGTCAGAAATATTTGCTATGCTTTGTTTGAAGAAAGCGTGGGGCGTTTATATGAGAAGTCCAGAAAACAGGTGGATGGTGGAAAAAAAAGGCCCGGGTTTGACTGGGAAACTTTGGGCCTTTGACGTCCTGCGTAATCGGTTCTCCACTGATTAGCGACTTTGACTGCGCGTGAGTAATCTGCAATTTCGGGCAAATGATTGTACAGAGATACGACGCCCATTCTGCATTTGGAAAAGCGGAGGAAAAGCCAGAAAAAGCGGGTGCCGTGCTTGTAATCAAGAAAACCGTTTAAGCTGGCCTCAACGCCTCTGTACTTACTCACAAAAATCCAGGCTGTTTCGGCTCTCCTGTTTTCCCCTCATGGCCAATTGTTAAGTCCGTGTTTTGGGACCCCGCTCTGCCCGACGGCCGGAAGGCCAATTGTCGCGAATCGCACCGATATTTTTTCTTTCCGTGTCTTTCAAAATGTTGTGAAAACCTCACTTCAATAACCTGACTATTGGACAGTTTTCCCCACTCTTCACCCAACTATTGCTGCTGGACCAGTAGCACCCGGGTTTTCCCGACAGATGCGGCGAGCGCTTCCGCTCCGGTCCTGCATGTAGCCGTCTGTCTTATTGGGAATTTAGAGTTCAGCCGGCCAGCACCGCGTTGGCCAAAATGCATTAAGTGGTGGTTTAAAATAAGAGGTGTGGCCAGAATACCTCGTTTAGTGGTTGAAAATAAAAGGCATGTCAGTAATATACAGGAGCATGTGAACCACAGGCTTTTTATTCCGGGCATATAGCTTCATAGTTAGAGTTTTTATTGGGCCGTTGAGGTCCGTTTATTTGGTATTCAGATAGGTCTGAAAGATTTAAGAAGCTGGTTGATGCAGGTTCCTAGCTCTTCGTGAGAGCTGGTGGGGGGAAGAACAAAACCAGTAACAAGCCAGAGCCATAGTTCTGGCGATTCTATTTATTCCCTTAAAATCGAAGAAGTTTGTATTCAGCTCGGTGTGGTTAAATACATTTCTTGCGAAGCAGTGGTTTAAACAAACGCCTGCTTTTCAATGGCTCCTGCCCTGGGGCTTTTCTAAAATACAGATGAACCGGGTAACCCGCGCTCTCGCAGTATATAAAGCCAGATGCTCGCCGCGCCACTTCCTTCCTTCTTTTTTTCTCGTGCGGCGCCAGAACTTATACCGTGTTGCTTGTCTGTTCACGTATCCCTACGAGTTGGCGAGTGTCAAGTTCTGGTCTGAACAAAATCCAGTGATGGACAACGACCATCTAAACGCCCTTTCATGAATTTGGCTAACGCAGCCGGTGGTTCTGCCATCGTCTGCATGGAAATACATGAGGGCTGGCAGGTCAGACATTTCCCACGAGCTACGTAAAGTTCTTGTAGATGAGATTTTGATATCCTTTTGACCGTAGATGAGCTTTTTAACATGTGAAGCTCTGTCTTTTCATCTTCTAGGTCGACTTCCCTTGGCGAAACGTAACGGGCACTTGAGACGAGTTGGCAACAGCTGTTTTTTCGAAACTGTCAATGTCACATTGCCTGTATTTTGAAAGCACTCTGCTCCTACTCATAGATTGGCAACTAAGCAGTCGATCATAGGATGCAATAACTGTCGGACAACCTAATAGTGGGTAGTCTCAAGGAGCAGATGAACACCAAATTATGAATAGGGCATGTCTATAATCTGCAGTCTGCAAGACTTTCAGCGTCCGCCAATGTGATTTTGAAAGGTTTTGAAGATGACACGAGGGGATATTCCTAAAAACCATTGGGTGCATTGCTATGCCGTCCTCTTGCACGATGTCCTATGACAAGCCATAAGAGCCATTCGTAGAAAAGCTAGGTACGGTATTCAATTTCCCTCCTTCATTGGATATCGTTTCACCCGATATGACCAATGAGGAATTATTATGAAAGCACATGAGATACTCGACAAGCCAGTACCCAAATTGTCGAAAGATCCCGAAAGGCTTTTGCAAATCGGGACCGTTTTTCCTGAAGTATTCCCTAGAGCAGTGGCGCAGAGGATCCACTAGAATAATTTTTGTGATATCTATCGGAAGTACATCTTGCTCCAATGTTTAAAATGTTGTGAGAGTAGACTCAAGCTCTGTCTAGTGTATATAACACGTTATTGAAACTAGGATTGGAAGAAATATCGGAAGATTTCCTCGAGGTGCTTTATTTCCTTTCATCAGCTTCCTTCGGGCACTAGAAGAGCGCATGTCTCATTCGGTTCATCTTTACTGGCCATACCGGATGAAACCTTGAAAAGTTCCCGGTCGTCCTCGGAAGCAAATCATGTGCTTCCAGAGACGTATTCCCGAAAATCGTGCTTTCAAGGTGTTTTGTGAGAACGCATTCCCTGAGGCTTCTCAAGGCATCCGGCACGGACCAATAGCATCTTGAACATTTCCAATAATAGAGCTATTTGATGCCTCATTCGGAAACATTCCTGGAGCTTCCCACTTAGAGGGATTTTTCAAAGTTCTTCTAGTGTTTCTGCTCTAAAAGAGAGCTTTGATGATGCCGTCAAGTGGAGTACATGTGTACGATAGCATGTGTGGTGTCTTTTCGGGGAACAATGCGGAACCGCCGGATCTGACGATATCCTATATTGGCATTACGATAGTGTTGGACAATAAGCCGGTGCCCTTCACAAGAAAGTGCTTTGCAGCTGTTCGTCGTTGGGAAAATACTTCCCAGCCGAATCCCATACGGGCGGCCGGGGCTGCGGAGCCAAGCAAGGCCAAATTCAGGAACGAAGTTTGGTAGAGCCCTCTAAGTCATTCTCTGTATGAGTGCTGTGGCCTTGGCCAATGTTTCAAGGTCCTCTTGGACCTCTGAAAACAGGAGGATGAACATTCGAATACGCCGACAAACCCTCGGAACGAAGCGCCTCGAAGAGTGGTCTTGATGCAGATCTTTACGTCGGCTCTTTCGGTTGATATTCAGACAGCATCCTCCAAATCTTTTCCCCGAGCTCTTTTTCAAAGCCGGAGATAACGCACGTGCCTCCTCGAATGCTCTGAAAGCGATTCTAAGGCTTTCCCGGGACTTTGCCGAGACTTTTCCATGACTTTCCATGACTTTCCCATGACTTTCCCATGACTTTCCCATGACTTTCCCATAACTTCCCATAACCTCCCATAACTTCCCATAACTTCCCATAACTTCCCTAGCTTCCCATAACTTTCCTAACTTCCCCAACTTCCTTAACTTCCTTAACTTCCCCCAACTTCCCTAACTTCCAAAAGACCTTGCCTCACCCTTCCGAAGCCTCTCTCCTCCTCCAAGATACCTAGGCGCCGTACTCAGAGCCCACGCGCATGAACGCAATGAAGAGATTGATGCACACGCCAAGCACCATGGCCATTTTCTGCGCGTCGTTGAACAGCGTGTCGTCCATGAGGAGAAACACGAGCGCCACGGCACCGAGAAACGTGCCGAGGAGAAGCCCCAAGAGAAGGTGCTCGTTGTGATGCGTGCCCTCCAACTCGGCCGCGGCGCGCTCCGCCAAGTTGGGCTGCGCGTCGCCGGCCTCCGGATCATACGTGCCGCTGTGGGGGCGCGCAGGACGGCCATTGGTGCTGTCCATGGTGGACTCTAGCCACCGCTCCTCGAGCTCGCGAACAAGCCGCTGGCGGTCCTCGTCCTCCTCGACGTCGGCCACGCCGGTGTGGTTGGGCGTGTTTGCCGGGAGGTAGATCTGCTGGAACTGGCGGCGCAAGTCGGCCACATCCAGCGCATCCATGCCCTGCAGCAAGAGGCGGTCAAACCCCACCACCGGCGCATCGCTGGTGTGTGTTTGGGCGCGCCGGTCCAAGTCCTTTTCACGGGCAAGCTGCTCGCGGGTCATGTGCTCGCCGACGAGGCAGTGCACGTATATTTGCAAGGGCTCTTGGGGCTCCGCGGGCTGCGGTGTTTGGCGGAGCTGCCGCAACTTGGGCCCAAAGACCTCGGCCTGGAAGTCCGTCTCGTCGTTGAGAATGCGCCCGTTGTAGATCAACCGGAGCCGCCGCCGGCTGGTGGCGTCCACCTTGCTGCGGATCATGAGTTTGAGCCACAGCGAGTTGACGAGTTTGTTGACGTCGTCCCGCCCGAGGGAGATCAGGAGGGGGATGCACAAGTCCGGCTGCTGGCCGGCGCCGGCGCCGGCGTCCGAAAAGCGGACCACAATGTGCACTTTCATGGTGTTTGTGGCTATTTGTGGCGGCACTTTGGTGGGCCTGGGCTGTGCGGTGGCGGGGATTTCGGGCTTGCTTTTTTTGGGGGCTCTGGTGGATTCTGTGGCTGCCTCCGTTTGTGTTTTGTGAATCAATTGGTGTGAATCAATTGGTGTGTTTTAATGTGTTTTTTGCCTTGGGCAATGTATGTTTTGGTGGGTTGGGGGCCTGTTGCCGGTGTCTCTTGTCGAGGGTCCTGAGAATCGGTGTGTCCGGCTTCTGTGTGCCAGATTTCTATGTGTCCGGCTTCTGTGTGCCCGGCTTCTTTGTGTCTAGCCTCTTCGAACTCCCGGGATTCTCTAGACTTCCCAGTTTGGCAGTTTCCTCCGTTTTTATAGTTCCTTCCGGTTAGGTGGTCGGTTGCACCATGCCGGTTCTGGCTAGTTGATAGGGCACGAAATGCGCGCTTGGCCCCGGCCGCGTGGGGCAGGTGGAAATGCACCTGTGTTTTGGGGCGAAAATCGAGGTATCCTCCCCAGCCTCTCGGACCGCCTTTCCATATTTTTTTAAAAGAGATTAATCTTGTAGGACGTGACTGGAGGGATGTGGGACCCCACCACTAACAAAAACTATAAAGAAAAAATACGTCGCAGCATTGGCCCAGATGAAGAGGCGCGGGCACCAATTCACGACTCTCTTTATTACCCTTTTGGATACGACTTTACATTTATATCATTTAGATTGTATTCTAGTTATGGACTAAACCATCTTGTTAAATGTTTTACTATATAACGTATAAAATTATGAGAAATGAAATGGAATCTATTTATTTATAATTTATTAACTTACAAACAATAGTATATTGGCTCCTTTTCTGTCATATGTATGCATTATCTCTGGGTTCACGTTCAAGTGTTAATAGTATTTTCTGTCTTTGCCTCCTGATCCATAAGCAAATAAACCCTGTGAACGACTTTAACAACCCAATTAAGGTTTTGTGGGTTGTCAAATAAATTATTTAAAGGAGCGTCTTCCTTAAGTGTATTGGAGCTTGGAAGCCGATCTTTTGCCACCAAAAGTGCACAACCTCACACTCATTGTGGAGGTGGGTTAGCTTCTGATCGCTAGAACAGCTTTTCAAACACAACATGCATTTGAATCTTGATGCCCCAACTTTATTATCATGAAAGGGAGCCGTGCTTGAATAGATGAATGGCTGTGAGATCGACAGTAGCTCGGCTATTGCTACGAATGATCTTATTGGGAATAAAGCGACATCAAGGTTGCTTTTTTTTTGGTAGATTCATCTGATTAAAGGAGAAAAGCTATATAAATGATTTATATAAAAAACCTTCAAACAGCTCCCAGCTACGTACCAAGTGTCTTAGCTCGGCCCGTCCCCTTCCGTTAGTCACGGCCTGGACGGTCCTCATGGCCCGTATCTGTTTACGTATTTCCGCGTTTTGCTCAATCTCTGTGCCCTAGTCAGTGGGATTAAAAACGGCAAGAGCAAAAATCGCTGGAATTCCGCCTGCGCTGCAGAAACAGCGGCCCTTACATTCCACATCGTCTACGTTATATAGCGCAAATGCACGCAGCCTTTCTATATGTCATAGTTATTCCCAGGTTGCCCTAGTTCATACTATGACCGACCTGCATGTAATCCTTGCGGATATCCTGGAGACTGCCCCACGGTCTATGCAGGATTCGCACTAAGAGAGGTTGAAGTATTTAGAATCCAGTCCCCGAGAATATGAAAGGAACAACGTTCACCAATTGGACAGTTCGTCCAGAACAAATACACGTTACTCTTACACATCCGTTCTACGTCTTAAGACCAACCCCAACTACACCTTTATCCCCTTTCCGGCTTCAGTCCAAACCACGGACGAAGACCGAAGTACCTGAAGGTAAGCCAGGCTTCTAAAGAAGACCTCGAGCGTTTCTAGAGATACGATCTGACGATCCAAGATAATTCGATATAACGATACGGACACCCTTAGTCGTTATACTATATTATGAAACAGCCTGGAGCTGTCTCTTAAACTACGAGTAGATCGGTTTATAGATAGTTCAGCCTTAGTGGATAGGCCTAGTCTATCTGTCGTATTCTCGATGTCTAAAAAGTCTTATCCTTCTTCAGGGATGTCTCAGCCTCACGCTCCTTTATAGTTCGGAACCCTTCTATACAGTAGGTGAGGGGTAACCCCGATCAGGAATGTTTAGACTCTTCGTCCTTCGTATTATACAGGATGCCCAGAATCTATAATCTGGCTCATGTCGTATCATAACATACTATAAGCTTCGTTCCTCATGGCCCAATGGTCAAGGCGTCTGGCTACGAAAGTAACCACTTCTGTTGGAACCAGAAGATTCCAGGTTCGACTCCTGGTGGGGAAGCTTCTTTTTTCTC